GTGAAAGAATGTTAGAATTTTTGAGCGGCAAAGGAATGTCAAAAATTTCTTAGATCAGCTTTAGAGAAGATTATAGGTTTTAGAGAGAAGATGAAAGATATTCCAATGCCTGTTAATTCCTTTCATCCAGTCTCTAATTGGAAAATTGCAACTGATCGTTTCCAATTATTTTCGTCATAGTCACCGATTTAATTGAATTTTTCTATCGTGAAGATATCTTTATTTCTCTCAATCCTACTCATCCGAGAAGTCTGAATTTGTTCAGTCATGCACTTCTCATTTTAGTATAATTCTCCTCTGTATTCCACCACTCTCCTCCTTCTGCTAGAATTCCATGATTCGAAAATATGTATCAATTGTATCAACGAACAGAAAAATTTCCGAAAATATCACAAACCGACAATACAACCGAGCGGTTTACTGCAATACTAATGAGAAGAAGATCAAACGACGCGTGACTGACTGCATTTCGCTCTGTTTTCGTTGAATAATATTCCACTAGACGCAACTATTCGTAGTATGGTGGATGCGATGAAGGAATTACCAAAAAAAACTTTTTTTTTGTTTTTGTTCTACTTGTTAGAACTGACTGATAATCTTTGAAACGTTGTTCTCGTAGTAGTCATCAGCAAAAAACAAATTGTATCCAAGATTCATTTATCAACTGGATCNTCTAAAGGAAATCACATACACACACATCGCGAAATATCAACGATTCCATTCATTCGCCGATTCGTCGTTTTGTTACTGAAAAAAACCGTAAAATCGTCTGTTTTTCGTACGTTTCGCCCAGTTGAATTTTATCATAATCCAGCGCTGTCTATGTGTTGGTATGCTTACGATTACCAATTCAAAAACAACAACAAAAAATAAGCGATATTTACAATCCACTGTTTTTGAGCGGGCATCAATCACATCGCCACTATGCTAACATTACTGAAAACACCGACAATTCTTCATAAAAAAACGTTGATGTTTCATTCTTTGGATTCATTCCATTCTTTCGTTGTAGATGCCATCAGCGAGTTGTTGTTGATTCACCGTCGTTGCCGTCTTTTTTTTGATGTGGCAACCAATGTTGTGTAAACTCTGTATACATATAATGTTTCCATATGATCAATGAGGCCGAAAATGTTTCTTCTTTCTGAGTGGATAGGTGCCGAAAATGTTTCTTCTTTCTGAGTGAATAGGTAATACGATGAAACTGAAGAGAATCGGATATCTTGGTGAGCAACTCAAAGCGTTCGTATGAGCGAAAACGAAACGAAGCAATGAAAAAAACGAAACGAACAATTGCAATTGCATGCGATTTTCACACATTGCTGAGCGATTTTCAACGCGTAAATAATATCGTGGCCTTCATCAAATATTACTCTATTGGTAGTTGGTTAAAAGAATCGCAAAAGTAGAGATCATTTGTGGAATGAAGTCATTTGTGGAATGTGGAATTCGTGTTCCTTGTTTGAATATTGGGCATGATCGGTATTGAACGCGGCTAGCTTACGTCGGTCGACTTGTAAGCATAATCCTTTCAAGTAAGCAGCCTGATTATCGATGGATCAGTGAATGTCGTCGTTGAGGTACGACAAGTGAATAGAGCTGCTCACTATGCGCACGACCAAGCCATACGGCATAAGAGCAGCAGCTATGCTTATCCACGCACATAATCCGCACGCGGATATATATTATAGGATATATTATATGCGACGTGAATATATTATAGGCGAGTTAAAGATTGACTGAGATAGCACTGGTTACCTCTACATATAGGTGATGGCGTTTTCATTGTTCCTATGCTATCCGATACGTTAGCTTCTAGCAGCTATATTATCATTATTACTGTTATGATTATTGCTATTATCAATATTTTAACCACTGAAACTGCATGACACGTTTGCGCTAGAGAATAGAAATAGAATTGAAAATGTGGATATCGTTAGTCGTTCGTTATGCACACCGCTATAAATTTATGATCGCCGCAAGCTTGTTTTGCCCCATATATATACCAAGTGAATGCAGAGGTGGATGGGGCAGATTTAGTTCTTTTAATGACATGCTTTATCTTATCGGATTGGATCTTTTTAATGCTGGCAATTTTTTGAGTCAAGTGAAAATTCATTCATCCGTTCACACGCAAACACACCCACAAATCCTCTAGGTACATCCGTCGATCTTTGATATCCACTATCGTCAGTTCAATCGTGAGCGCCTTTATCTGTCATCATACATTCTCCTAAAGTTCTGTTTGTCTGTTCGGTATGCACACTTTAAATATTTCTGGTTCATTTCGTTTCACTCAACAAATCCATATCAAGTGCTTCATTCTAAGTAATTGATATTCATTTAACGGATTAGAGGTGTGATACTAATAAGATATGACATTCTCAAATACTCCATTCTATTGAAGTATTTTTCTGAGCCAAATGTTAATTAGTGCAAACAGCTGATGATGACCTTCTAAGTCGTTTTTTTCTCGTACGACTGTTTACTTCGATGGGCTCTATAAAAGTTGTCCGAAGTTTGCACTTTCCATCGTTCTCCATGCATTTTCGTTCGAAGTGAAGTTTCGTTCTCACCAAAGCCAAACTTGTGTGATTATTTAAATTTGGTATAATTATGTGCGTATGGACGTGCAATCGTTTGGTTATTTTCACCCCCAAAAATTTCTCATCATCATAATGGCATTA